GGGAAAAGACGGAATTATGCTGAAAGGCATTCTGCATGCTCGCCCCTTGGGCTCTGGAAATATTTCCCAGAATCATAACCAGCCCCACAGAGACTGGGCTTTCACAAAGCTGGACCTCAGGGAGACTCCAGCCTGTTCGGGGAGGTGGGCAGGGTGGGAGAAGGTGATGACAGGGAGACCTGGAGTGTCATTTGGCCTTTGCAACCTCCTGCCCCCATGAAACCCCTTGCTGTGGTTTAAATGTTTGTCTCCTCTGAAACTCAGGTTGAAACTTAATCCCCAACGTGGCGGTATTGAGAGACGGAGCCTTTAAGAGGTGATTGAATCATCAGGACTCTGCCCTCATGAATGGATAAATCCATTCATGGATTAACGGATTAATGGGTGAATGTATTAATGGGCTGACTGGAGTGGGACTGGTGGCTTTATAAGAAGAGAAAGAGAGACCTGAGCTGGCATGCTCAGCTCCCCACCATGTGATGCCCTGTACAGACTCAGGACTCCGCAGGGTCCCCACCAGCAAAAAGGCCCTCACCAGACCTGGGATGTCTCAGCCTGCATAACTCTAAAAAATAAATTGCTTTATATGTTACCCAGTTTCAGGTACGCTGTTAAAAGCAACAGAAAATGGACTAAAACAGTCCTAGGATCAGGCCCCCAGTTACCAGCTCAGCATTTCCCAAAGTAAGTCCTGTGAAATAAAGTCCAGTCAAAGGGTATTAGAAAAGTTTTTCCATGATCAAATAAGTTTGGGAAACCAGGTCAAATCAGTCCTGTTTTCTCAGATGTACTACACATTTCTTGGAGATCTCATAGATGGTGGTTTCAACCAGGGGTAAGTTTGCCCCTCCAGAGGACAATTAGCAATGTATTTGGAGACTGTTGGCTGGCACACTGCAAAGATGCTACTGGTATCTAGTGGGTGGAGGCATGGATGCTGCTAAACACCCTACAATGCACAGGACAGACTCATCACAAACAGGTATCCAGTCCAAAATGTCAGCAGTGCTGAGATTGAGAAACCTTGTCCTAGAGCACTGGATACTCCCAGGGAGGTGTCCAGGGGCCACAGTGTGGAGAACATTTGTCATTCTCTTGGGCCACCCAGCATCTGCTCTCCTTTCCTGTGTTTGAGGCCTTCCCTTTGTGTTTCCAGGCAACAGAAGCTCTCAGTAGCCAATCCACGTTGTGCCAGCCTCTCTTGCAGACAGGTGGCAGACATATGACCTCCAGCCACCAGTTAGATGTATCTCCCAGGCTTTGCATCCAAAACTAGTGATGTGAAGAAGCAGGGCTATGCAGAGCCCACCGGATAGCAGTGAGGGAGGTGGCAGCAGACCCAGTAGAGGTGGCAGTTCTGGAGACAGCACCCGGTGTGGGCAGAGCTGGTGGCATAAGCTACTGTCTATACTGCAGTGAAGTCTTCCTGGGACCAGCTCTACAATATGAGCTGGGGTGTCATTCCTGGCTGTTTTGCCTCTGACCTTGATTTTCTGACCCTACAAGAGATTCTGCAAGCTACCCAAGATCCTTAAAGCATAAGTTGAAGCATAAGTTAGGAGAGTTGGCTTCTGCTGCTTGCGACCAAGAACTAATTGAGTGGTACTGAGTTCCCCAAATGTGTTTGAGTGCAGGATTCTTTCTTTTGCGGAACATCTCAAGGAACCCTTGTTCTGTGAGCATACTTTCAGAACACTGACCAAAATGAGACTCCAATAGGGATTCCCATAACTCCGCTCCAGCCAGACCAGATCACTGCAATGGCCCCGCCTGAGGGGGCCCAGGACCACTGAGAATGCCCAGCATCTCTCTCCTGCTCCGAGCTGAGTCAGGACTACCCACAACCACCCTCTTTTCCAATGCCAACAAGAGCCGAGCCGAGAACACCCACAGCTGACTGCAGCCTCAAGAACCAAGACGTACTCGAGGTGTGGGAATGATCGGGCTTATCAGGAGGAGGTAGCAGGAACTGAAATGTGCACGTGGGAACTCTGTGGCTTGATGGGGGGATGATGCTGGAAGGTCAGAGATAGGTTTGAAAAGAAATTTGAGGTTTTGAGACTATGGAGTAGGGGAGAAACGGGGAACTTTCAGGGAAGGTCAGGTATCTACCCAGAAAACGGTAAGGCTATTTTAGGGAATTCTATGGACAAATTTCATGGAAGGTGCTGAGCCCAGCTTCAGGTATGTTTACAGAGAGAAATTTTCAGTGCCATTCATTTATTTATTCAATGAATACGCAAGGAGCACGAGACAGTAATCAGGTGCTGCAGAGACAGTGTTGAAGAGTACAGACACAGTGGCCTAGCAGGGCAGACGGACAACAGTGTTCCGAGGTGTTTTGTCACTGGGGAAGACGGTGGAGGCCAGAGGAGCGTAATATACAGGATCTCACCCTCTCTGGGGCCATGAAGGACTTCTTGGGGACGGGACCCTCAGAGGAGCAGGGCAAGCCAGGTGGTGAGAGGGGCAAACCCAGCAGAGGTGGGGTCCACATGGGGGCTGAGATGGCAGGAACAGGGCAGGTTTGGGGACCTAAACTAAGGCTCCAAAGCCAGTACACAGGGCAGGGTGAGTTGGCCTGGAGCCAGGCTGGAGGTGGGGGCAGGCCAGAGCCACAGGGCAGGCATCGGCAAGGATGCCGGTCTTCTATCCTAAAAGCAAAGGGAAGTGTTGCAGAGTCCAGATTGGAGCCACGCGACATAAGGCTGAGGAGAATCTGAAACTACAGTATGCTGTGTGGCTTCTTCAGTGGCCGAGGCAGGTGACGGACTAGTGTTAGGTGGGAACTGGTGTCCAGGTGAACTAAAACGAGGCAGAAGGCAAAAGAATGGGCCTTGGGAAGCACCTGCAGTGTGCCAGGTGCTTTACGCTGGTGCTTTACGTTGCATTTACCGCAGGGCTGAAGCAGCCACAGAAGCAGCCCTGGCCCCACCCAGAGCCAGAGTGCTTGCTGCCCCCCCAGCCCGCACCCCCCCCCCCAGGCCTGGAGGCTGTCAGAAAGGATCTGGGAGGAGCAGGCAGGGCCCTGGAGAAGCCAGGGGTAGGAGTGGGGGGCAGGACGGGGGTGGTGGGAGGAAAAGGGACATAAGCAAAAGGACAGGCCACACAGCCAGAGCAGCTCCAGAGAGCGGGCTGGGAAGGAACCTTAGAAATCAGCTGGTCCAACCTCCCCTTTTACAGATGAGGAAACTGAGGTCCAGGGTTCGGGGGCAGAACCAGAAAGAAAGCCCAGCTCTCTGGCTCCTCCTCTGCTGCTCCAGGTGTGTGTGCAGGCACCTGTGCACATGCGTGTGTGCCTGTGTGCGTGCGTGTGATGTGTGTGCATGCGTGTGCACGCTCGGCTGAGACGGGGCTGTCCGTCTCTCCATCCATCTGGAATCCAGGCTGGCCGTGATGTCGACATGAATTAAGATGTTTACAGACACGGAAAAAAATGCTTAGGAAAGAAGTTAATCTCTATATGAGGGGTGTCCAATTTCAGAAGGTTAATGTCTTGATTTTTTTAAATCCCTTTTCTGTTTTATTCAAAGAGGATTTGGTGTTCTCAGTCCCAGCTGGGAGCTTAAGAAAACAGAACAGCGTATCTCGGCCTGCTGCCTGTCCCTGCAGCTCTGGGCCTCTCTTGCTGGACCTGGGACAGGGATACCTGGAACAAGGCCTTGACTTAGGCCAACCACCTGCCTCAGTTTCCCTCTCTGCACAGAGGCCTGGGGCTTCCCTTGCTGTCCTTCCCCCCACTCTTGGGGAGCAGGTTGGTCCAGCCGAGAGCAGAAGGGCTCAGACCCAGGAGGCGAGGAGCAGAATCCACGGCTGAAGCAGGTGGGAGACCTGGCCTGGCTGTGAGGGAGAACCGCAGGCTCTGAGGGTGGCTCCAGGTGTGTGCAGAGGGAGGAGGAAGGTGCACAGACCGCAATGTGTTGTGGCAAACAAGCCAGGAGCTCCCCCTCCGCTGTGTGTGTGAACCTTGGAGTCACCTCCTTGGAAAAATGGGGAGGACCGTGTGACCACAGATGCACTGGCTGTGCTCTTACAACTGAGTTTCGTGGCAAACATGAGAGCAGATTTCTGGGGTCGCCATTAGTGGGTGGACAGAGGGCTTGGTGTGGCCATCTGTGGTGCCCCATCGAGCCACTGGAGACCAGCCACCTCCTGGAGTCCCAGCCTATCAGACCCAGTAGCTTCCTGGCTCAGAAACCCCAGGAGAGACTCCCCTCTGCCGCAGGGGGACCCCACTGGGTAGCAAGACGTGAGCTGGAACCCCCACCTGGGGCTGATCAGGTTCCCAGAAATTTTGACTACGACAAAAAAACAGGTTCCAGTTTTTCCAGATTCCAATCTGGTGCCCCGGCCATTGCCTGGAACCCCACCATCTGTTGGGCAGAGATTTCTCCTACTAGGAAACTCAGCCATGGGGTTTGAGCTCCACCACGCCTAAGTGCTGTCGTCAAGTTAGCCCTTGCCCTTCCCTCTCTGGGCCTCTGTTTCCTCACCTGTTAAATGGGAGTTTAGACCAGATGACCTCCCCACCCACGCACGTTGCTTTTTGGCACTCCTTTCAACATTCTAGATTTCTGAGTCCCTGCTAAGACTCTCACCTGCCTTTTCTCAGCTCAGTCCTTCTACAGCTACCCCCACAGGTCAGACCGAGGCAGCCCCTTTTCCCTGGGTAGGTCCCCAAGCCCCAGGCTGGCTTCCTTCCTGGGCTATGGCATGGGGGTGGCTTCCCCTGCCCTTACCAAGGGGAGAGGGAGCAGAGGGCCGTGGCACATGTCGCCAGTGCCGACGTGAGGACTGTTCCTTCCCTTATCACCCCCTGAGGTGGGTGGGGCCAGGAGCCCAGACTTAGGGAAATGGTTACACAGGCTGGGAAGGGCAGGGCAGGCACCGCCCAGGGGTGCAGACCCCAGAACCTGTGCTCCTTCCTCAGCTGCAGGCTGCCTCCTTACTTCTACTCTGGAGAAACAGGACAGTTCTGTGGCCAGGAGGCCTGTCGTGACTCAATTCATCAAGCATTTATTAATAGACCAGAAGGTTTGCTTGGCACGGTATTAGGGGACAGAAAAGGGCCATGGAGCCCATGGGGTGATTCCCTTCTAGACTCTGGGCTGGGGCTCCGTCCCTCCCCCAGGGCAGTGTCAGGCCATCATCAGACACCCCTGAACCTCTGGCAGCCGCTTTCCTGATTGTCCTTTGGATCCAGCAAGTTACAGCTCATTCCTTTGGCCCACATTGTTCCTTAACGACATCACATTTTCCATCGGCACCGTGCCCTTCCGCCAGCGCGCTGCCTCCCAGCTGATCTGCGTCTCTGACATGCTGTGGTTTCCATGCATCACTGCACTGCACCATCCCTGGATCCATCTGAGATCTGCGAAGCTCAGAGCCTGGGTACCCCCTGGGCCTCCCCATGGCAACCCAGTGCTGGGGCCAACCCTGGTCCATGCGGTTAGATGGTCTGTTCTCCTTCAGATCACTGGGTACCCCGGAGACATGGCTGTTCTCCGAGGCACCCACCTCAAAGCCACAAAGGCCTCCTTCAATTTGTGCACAGATGTGAAGGCCCTTCCGAGTCCTTGCTTAGGCTGGGTGCCTGGGCACTTCCCAGGGTTGGGCCATGAACAGCTCTGCCCTCACCTCCAGGGTGGATGGGCCACCAGTGTATTCACTGACAGTCCCCTCTCCCAGTCCCTTGGCAAGCTGGAGTCACACGGGCACCCACAGCTCCTCCTGCTTCCTGCTCCAAGTTGAGCATCTGTCCCTCCTGGTATAAACCCAGGTGCTCTGTCCCAGCCCTTGCGACAGCCTTCCTCTCTGAGCTACTCATTGGTTTATGTGACTGCTATTTTGCTAAGCTCTAACTGTGCACCAGGCCCAGCATTGATAACACCTTCTGTTTTACACCCCTGTCGCTGCTAAGCTCTGTCCTCCACCACTTTCTAGTGAGGGAGTGTCAGAGGAGGGAAAGCACAGACTTTGGAATCAGACCAAGCTGGGTTTAAACCTTATATCTGTTGTCTATCTAACTGTCAGAGCCTAGGCAAGTTGCTTCGCTGTGAGCCTCAGTTTTCCCATCTGTAAGCTGGGAATAATGCCATTCCTAGGGTTGCTGGATGCACTAAATGCATTCAAATACGTACCTGGTATAATGTGTATTTCTGGCACAAAGACAAGAGAACACCTGGTGCATTTGGAACTATATATTAATAGAATACAGAAGGCAGGTACTAAGAGCCCTAAGGGAGCAGCAGGGAGTGTGGCCAGAGAGGAGTGCTGGAGAGGAGGGCAATGGTGCAGACCACTATTGCATCGTGTGATGCCCCTGCCCTGGCACCTTTCATGTCCCCTCACTGCCTCCAAGTGGCAGTGCAGGTTGCTTTGGATGGCCTCCAGGCTTTCCAAGCACCCTCCAGCCCAGCCTTCCCTCCATCACTCCCCGAATAAGATGTGGCTTCTTCCTCACAGCCTCTCTCCTGGCAGGTGGTTAGTGCCAGGCATGGAGGAGCAGGGCACTGTGGGCCTGCCTCAGTGCCCCGGCCCCTGCCCTGCTCCTCCTTCCTGTCTCCAGTGAGCCCAGCCCCGGAGAAGCAGCTCTGCTCAACGCCAGTCTCTGAAACAAGGTCGCCAATCCATGCCAGGGCTTCTCTGTCTGGACAGGCCAAGGCTTGGGTCTAATTCCATGGGTACCGGCCCTCACCAAGGCCAGGAGGAGCTGGAAGTCAGGTGGCCCCTACTTGCTCCAGCAAGGCCACCCTGCTCTCAAGCTACAGTCATGAAAATCAAAACAGGGAGAAGGGCTGGGTTGAAGAAGGGGACCTGAGCCTCAGCTCTTAATAGCATCCTCACTATCTTAGTCTCACTCATCACCTCGCTTGGAGTCTCCCAACCCCCGCAGAAGGTGGGCTGTGTGGACATTACTTTCATCATCGTCCCATGTTGGAGAAGAGGCATCTGCTGCCCAGGGAAGGGCCGTGGCTTGCCCAGGGTGTCACAGCTGGTCACTGCAGAGGTCTCTGGCCTTCTGGTTACTTCCACTGGTGAGTCCTGTCTGGTGCGTTTGGTTTGCTGTGGTTGCTTGGTACCAGCCCAGAGTCCTAGAACTTCTGTTTAAAATCCTGCCTCAGCTTTCTGACAGTGTCCAGAAATCTTGCAGGGTGTTCTCTGGAAAAGGAGAATGCCATGAGAAGCAGCGTGGATAGGATGAACGCCACCGTGGCCCACACCTCAACTCTTTCCATCCCCATCATCCCCTCATTTCCAGGGGCCCCGACCCCACTTCCAGTTTGTTAAGAGTCTAAGACGACCCAGTGAATCTGGGACTCAGAAGCCACTAAATCATGGTCCAAAAAATCATGGCTATTGATTTTTGTGGGGAGGAACACACATTTTATAAAATTTATAGAGGGAAAAAAAAAGAATATCATTTGAGCATACATATTTGTTTTAAAAAATATGTTATTTCAGTTAATTTTTAAAATACAGTCTGAATAATTAGATCCGATAGTGTGCATTTGTATGTTTGGGGATTTCAAACAGGTTTTTCTGTAGCTAGTCAGCTCGCTTTAACCTGGACTAGAATCCAAGCCAGCTGGACTAGATGGGGCAGAGTTTCAAGTTGGATGGACTCTCTCTAGTCCATCCTATTTGTTTGACAGATAGGGAAACTGAGGCTCAGGTCAGAGAAGTGCTCTCCCTAGTGAAATGCAGCTCCTTTGTGGCAGAGCCTGGTCTCTATTCAGGTCTTCCAGTCCCACTTCAGCCCTGTTTCCACAGTGCCACAGACCCACTGTGGCCTGAGACCTGGGCAGCCTGGGGAAAGGGGCCAGAGGACCACTTCCTGAACAGGCCCTGCCCCCCGACCAGCCTGCCCAGGCCTGGACCTCAGGCTGCTTTGATGCTCCTACTCATGCATGTATCTGGTTCAAATGGCTGTCCCTTTGGACTGCTGCAGGGGGCTGATTAGATGTAATTGCTTTGCCTAGAGTGAGCTATCTGCTTAATAGAATCAGCTCCCCGTAATTAGCCTGCCAGAGGCCCATTTCCCTTGCTGGAGTCCGAGGGCCTCTGGGTCCTTACTCCAACCTGTGTGTGTTGCACCTCTGCAGGTTGCAGGGAGCAGGGTGTGCATGGATGAGCTTTGGGCTTTGGGCTTCGGTTGGGGGACCTGAGAGAAAGCAGTGCTGTGGAGGCTCTGCAAGAACCCCAGATGCCATCCTTGGGGCCAGGGAATCACAGCACTTCACTGGTGGAACAAGGAGTCTAGCATAGACGACTGCTCCATAGATGTTACACTGAGCCCAGCTGAACCACAAAAGGCATAGAGTCCAACCCCAAACTCGATACATTCAACGGTCAAGTCCAAAGGCATTTCTTGCAGACCTGCTGTGCGCCAGGCACCCTACTAGTTCCTAAGATCCCTCCAAAGTAGCCTCAACCCTAGGGATCACTCAGGCGGTGTTTGTACACCTCCAGTGACCCAGAGCTCATTCCTTTTTTGGGGGCACGGAGAATGTTCCATCTTATGTTGAGCTGAAAGCTCTTTCCCTGTCACATCACCGCCACAGATCACCGGCCCTTCTAGGCTACACAGAGCAAAGCTAATCCCTCCTCAGGTGACAGCTCACATGTCCCCTCCATCTTTTCTTTAGGCTGAACATCCCAAATTCTCTCAGTCATGCCACGCACATCATGCTGGTGAGGCCCCTCATTCATCTGGTTGACAGGCCTGGAACCTGCTTCTGTTTGTCAGTGCCTCTCTCCCGGCACGGTCCGGGGCCCAGCGGCTGGAGCTGCAGGAGTCGGGGCTCCTCCCTGGGCAGAAACAACTGCAGCCCCGACCAGAACATGACACTACCTGAGGAGCGCCATGGTGGCCGCCCGAGCCCCTCCACTGGGGGGAGGACATCTACAACCTGCTCATCAGGAGCAGAGTGGCCTCTCTTGTCCTGTCCCCTGCCCCAAGACATGCACACACACGCACACACACACAGACACACACACACATGCCCGTGCGTGCTCCCAGGCACCACTCAATACTCACTGGCTGATTAATCACTGCAAGTGCTCTTATAATTATTGTGTTTGGTGCTGAGAACAGGCTGCCTCTGCCCTGCTTGCTTCTCAGAAGCCATAAAGCTGCAAAGAAGGATTTCAAGATTTGTGAGGCTGTTGACCAGGGCTCCAGGCTCACTTTTTTCTTTAACAGCAACATGTTTGTCAGGAAATACAGCCATGGCCATTCCGGAATCTCTGCAGAGGACAGGCTTTAGGGATTTAGTTCTTGCAATGGGAGTAAGGCAAGTTTAGGGAACTTATCTTGTAGGCATCGGTTGGGAAGTCAGGACAGTCATGAGGCCTGGAGGTGCTCACTCCTTTCACCAGGGCCATTTCCTCCTGGGCACTGGGCAGTCTAAGGCTCTCTCCAGCTTCAGTTATTCTGTGGTCTTTGGCCAAATACAGGGAAGAGTGTGCATGGAGGGAAAATATAGAGGGCGGGGAGAAAGAAGAAGAGGAGATCAGACCAACGCTGAAACTCTCAGGTTCCCAGCCTCCTGCACATGCATGCACGTGCACACACACACGTGCACGCACACGTGCACACACACATGCACAAATGCACATGTGTACACAGACGCATGCCCGGCTGGGGAATAAGGGCTGGTTTTTCTCCCAAGTTTCACTCTCTCATCACCAGCTGGCCCTCCTGAAACCCTAGTGATGGCTGGGTCTGTCCAGCACCCTGCCCCAAGTGTGGGAGGTGGGGAGGTAGGTATTGGAGAAAGGGGGAGGTGAGTAGAAAGTGAGGAATACAAATGGCTAAGTCAGAAAAGTGAACAATAGTAGCATCAATGAGGACAGAGTGAGCAATAGTCTCAGGCACTGCTGGGGAGGATGAAAACCAAGACAGCCATGCTGAGGATCCCTGGCAGTATTTAGTGACAAGCACTGTGACCACTTCTGGGAATAAGTCCCAGTGACAATTTCCTGCAGATCCTTAAGCATGCCCATTTGAGGATGCTCATCACGGGCCAGTGTTCAGGCTAGAGAAAGGGAGGCCACTTATGAGGCCTCTCTGGGAAGGAGTCCTGCGAATGTGGTGGCTACAGACTGCAGCGAGCGCAAGGGCTCCATGCGACCACTGCCACTGTGAGCTGGAACAAGACCGACCCTGCCACAGCTCCATGAAGAGCACTTTCTCCTCTCTCTCTCTCACTGCTAGAAGAACCAAGTCCAAGCCTGGGCTGGGGCTGGCCTCACAGATCTTTGAGTCTGAGCCCTCATTTGGCAGGTGGGAGCCGCAAGGCCCAGAGACAGGCAGCCCTTTCCCCTCGTCACACAGCTTGACCGGGAGGGCTGAGAACAGGGCCAGGTGTCCAGCCTCCCAGCCTGGTGTGCTTTCCCCAGCAGCCCCCAGAGCCGCTCTTTGTTAACAGTTGCCTTTTGTGTTTGATTTGGGCTTGAGATGTTAAACAAATAGTGTCTCTTGACAAACGCAAGCCTGCTGCACTGGGACCAGTTATGCTCTGTAAAGCCAGACTAATCCCTGACTTCTCTCCCTGTGGAGATACACCAAGAAACACCTCTCATGCCCAATGCACCCTAAATCTGGTCAGCCCACAGACTGCAGCCATGATCCCTGGCACTCTGCTCTGTGCAGTGACTTCCTCCCTGCTTTCCTGCTGCAGCTCCTGGGCCCCTTTCGCCCTTTCCAGGCCTGATCCTTGATGTTGAAATGGCCCTGGGCACTCCTTCCTGCAGGGAACCATGGGCCCAGGCCCTGCCACCCTGCCTGAGCCATCCAGGCTGACTGGACTGCATACAAGAGTATTTACAGGATGCCTCTCTGTGCCAGAAGCTGTGCCGAGGGCTATGGGGTGCAGAGATGAGTAAGGCCCTAGCCCTGCCCTACAGGAGCTTATGGTTAGCTCTAGACAGAATGGCCAGCATTGCACAAGAGGCTCCAGTCCACCTAGTAACCCACAAAATCAGGATTTGAACTGTGGCCCATCTGACTCGGGTCAGCTCTTTCACATCTACCTCACTGATCCTGCCCCTTCCTCCAGCTAAACTTCCAGAAAAGGGGCGCTGGAGAGCAATGTATAGACAGACCTCTGGACCCTTCATTCTCCAGACCACATTCTTGTCCACTATAGAATGAGCATTGCTGGTCAAAAGGCCAGGGCTCTCATTAACATCCCAGAATCTCAGAGTATGAAAGGACCTTTTGATACAGTCAACACTTTGGTCTTGTAGAATAGGAAACCAAGGTGCAAAGAACCAGTGTGAGTCTCCCAAGTCCAGGGAACTAGTTGAGAGTTGGTGGCAGCACTGGGACCAAACTTCAGGCCTCTGGCCTCCCAGGGCAGTGCACTCTCCACTATCTGACATGCTTCCCTGAGCCTTCGGACACTCACATCTGTCTTTATCCCCTTCCCCTGAACCAGACAGGGCTTCTCCAGCTTTAGAGGTGTCTGTCTGCAGAGAGTCACAGAAGCAGATTGCCAGGGTTTTTCTTCCAGCAGACTCAGCCATCCATGCTCCTCTCCTGCTGGAACTACCAGTCTCTAACTCAAGTATAGGATCTTTAAGGCCTTCACGTGTGTACTGAGTCCCCAGGGAGACTTGTGGGGCAGGTGTCACGTGCAAGGCACTATGGGAAGAGTGTCATAGGGTCTCCACCCTGGAGAAGAAAACGAGCCTGTGCGGAAGACAAATGTTAAGGAGCAGCTGACCTCCGAGGCAGGAGGGACACTTGCTGCCTTGAAGCTTAGGTGGGTCCTCTGGAAACACAAAGGAACCAGGGCCCCCTCACCGTGCTTCATGGGGGAGTGGCCTTTGAGCTGGGTCCTGAAGCCTCAGCAGGAGTCCCACAGACAGAACACGGAAGCGGCAAGGAAGCACAAGCATCCCAGCTTATGGGAGCCATGCGAACATAAAAGTACTTGAATGTATTTAGAACTTAGGAAGGGAGTGGAAGATAAAGCTAGAAAATAATTATGTATAGCGGTTAGATATAACAAAATATAGCAACTAATGATAAATTCTGTACAATTTATCCTAACTCCATTTTTGTCCCTTTTGTCACTAAGTAGAATCTTAAAGCAATGGTAATATCCTCTTTCTTCCTGATTCTGGGGGACTGGGTAAACAGAGGCTAAAGCAGGCTAGGAAGGCCATGGGATGTTAAAAATGGGGAGAGTGTAGACATTTCCTGGTCCAAACCCTGCCATTTCTGGGTGTGCAAACAGAGGCCCAGGGAGAAGGAGTGACTGGCCCTGAGTGCCACAGCAAACTCGTGGCAGGGACAGGCTGACAGCAGGTAGGTGCAGAGAGGTCTGAGGAGTCCAGGATGAAAGGAAAAGCGACAGGCTGCCAGTGCTCTGGCATAGTCCAAGCCAGGTCAAGGGTCAGAGGATGAGATTCCTGGCTGCGAGTCCTAGAGGCTACTCAGAAATCTAGACTAGCACGAGCATGGCCCTGCCACCCCAGGTCCTCCTCTGCAAGAGAAAGGAGGGAGGAGGCGGGGGAAGGAGGAGACCCCAGCTGCCCTGGGGAGGGGGGGCAGGCCGAAGTGGGTGTGTTACGTGCTCCCCACTGACAGGTGCCCAGATCCCATACAGAATGGGTACAACAAGAAAGTCCCAGCCATGGGGCATGAGTCCTGATCCCCCCCCTCACTCACTGTGTGACCTTTAGCAACCCCCTTCCTACTTTCTGGGCCCTCAGTTTCCTCATCTATAACCTGAGAAGGTTGGGCTAGGTGATCTCTGAAGGTCCTTCCAGTTCTGAAGTGCTGTGAGAACAAGCTTCATCATCATTAATAATACATGCTCTGCCCCTAAAGAGAGCTTTTTCCCCTTCCCAAAGCTCTTTCACTCACAATATCACCTTTCATCTGTACAGCAGTCTGGCCTGACAGTCAAGAGCAAGCGGACCCTGGACCCACAGGCTTTTCACCTTGAAAACCAGGTCTAGCAGCTGCTTGCTCAGCTAGACAGGCTTTGGGGGAGTTGGCTTCTGGGCTAATTGTGGTCAGGAGCCAATAAATCCGAAGTGCACAGAACCTAACTTGTGCTTTCACCCCTGGGAAGCTGAGAAAGGCAGTGCTTTCCTTCCAGAGAGCCAGAAGACACCAAGGGAGAAACCTGCAACAGGCTGAGTTCATGGCCAGAGAGCAGGACGAGTATATTTGTGTCTGCAAAGAATCAAAGATCTTCCTCTGGGGAGGAGGGAGGACAAGGTGCTATGAAGTCAGGGCCCTCCCATCAGGCTCTGGTCCAGAGACCTGAATCCTAGGGGAGCAGAACCCATTAGAGAGCCTCATATTATCTTATTTGCACACATGTGGTCTCCTTTGATCCCTTAAAAACAATTGCTCAAGAGGTGGGTAGAGCTAATATAATTATCTATCCCATTTTGCAAATGAAAAGAATTGAGGCTCAAGGAATCATGGAGAAGAGCACGGGCTTAGAAGACAGATAGACTGAAGCCTCTTCCCTGCTGAGTGACCTTCAGTGATTCTCTTTGTTACCTTTAGTCTTAGTTTTCTCATCTATAAAATGGGCATAACCATACTTGTCTTTTGGGAGTGTGGTAAGGACTAGAAACAATGAATGTAACATGTCTAGCCGGACAAAACAGATGCTTAACAAATACTTGTTGAATGACCCTTTAAAGGAATGAATGGGTTCATGGCCCTTCTGCTGTGCCATAGGAGAAGGAGTGTGGTATCTGGCAGGGACAGGTCAGCCCAGGATGTGGGCAGATAGTGCTCCTGCTTCTGGCTGGCTGCCTCCTGAGCCTGCCCTCAGTCAGGGGCCTTGGTGACACTTCCACATCTTTTCATGGCCCATGCCAGGGTCTCGTGAAGGACTTTTTGACCCTCCTTGGCACTGAGCTTTGCATTCCAATCATTCTGCTTGCTCAGCCCATCCAAGTCTGGAGTTGTTTGGAGCCGTGCAAGGCCTGTGGGATCATCTGCTATGGCACCTCATTGAAGAGATAAGGAAAGGAGGCTCTGAGAGGGGCAGTGACGCCTTGCCTGAGGTCCCCCTGCCCTTCCCTCCTTACCACCATGACCACTATGTTGACAAATGAAGAAACTGAGGCATAGGGAGGCCACCATCCCAGTTCCTCCAGTCCGTCAGTGACCCCTCTGAGCTGGGCCCCACCTGCCCTGCTTCATCTGGATCCCAGTTCTGCTGGGACACCCGAGGTAGTGGCAAATGCTGTTTCTGGAAGCCCAGCCCAAGCCCAGCCTGGCACGCTGGTGCAGGACAGGAGCCATGGATGTCAGGTCAGCCCGAGGCCCCTGGGGAGCAGCGCAGGAGGCTCACCAGCCTGGCTTCTCAGCCAGTTCCAGGAACTGCGCTGACCTGGGCAGGGACACATTTGGCGAGAGCAGAGCTTTCCCTCGGGTGTCGGCTCATGTGTGCCCAGGTCCACAGCTGGGCCCTGCCTGTTACTAAGACAGCCGCAGCCTGGCCCAGGGGAGGGAGTGTGGCCTGGCAGTCAGGAAAGCTGGCTGAGCCCCAGTGCTGTTGCGAACTCATGGTGTGCCACTGCGTGTCACCTCTCTGGGCCTCGGTTTCCTCATCCATATGGTAACGGCAGGACGGCAAGGCCTAAGGTCCCTTCCAGCTATAACACGCTGTGATGTGGGAGGAGGGTGGGGGTGAGGGCTCCCTCCGCCTGTTCCTTTCCCTTTCCATGCTTTTCTGTCTTTTTCTGTGTCACTAGTTTATCTCCAGCCATCCAGGTCTCTAGCTCAGTCTGCCGCTTTTTCTGTTTCCGTCTTCTGCTCGGTATTTTCCTGCCTGCCTCTTCTCCTGTGCCTGCGAGTCCACCTCTGATCTTATCTCCTCTGCCACATACCCTGTTCCCTCAGCCCCGCGCGGCCCCTTTCTCCCTTTCTCTGTAGTTATCTGCGTTTCGCTGTCTAGTTCTCCCTGTCTCTGGGGCTTGCTCCCTCCCTGCCTCTCCCGGCCGCCACGCTCTCCGCTCCTCTCTCTCTCTCTCCCTCTTTCCCTCTACCCTCCTCCCTTTCTCCCTCTCCCTCCTCCCCCATCCTGCCGGGCTCTCCCGCTCGCTGCCCCTCCCCTGCCCCACCGCCAGCCCCCTCCCTCCCTCGGCGCGTCTCCCCAGTCCTTATTTGGCTGGGCGGGAGGGCTGGCGGGAGGAGGCGGCCTGCGGGCGGGAGGCGGGGGGCGGGAGCGGGGCCTGGCGGAGGAGGGCGGTGGGTGGTGCTGAAGGGACAGCTCCGCGCGCAGCGGCGGCGGCGGGGCCCCGGGCGCGGAGCTGGTGCCCGGCGCGGAGAGCGGCGAGCGCAGCCATGCCCCAGGCCGCCTCCGGGGCAGCAGCAGCGGCGGCCGGGGCCGGGGCGCGGGCCGGGGGCTCCGGGGGGCCGGCGGGGGCCCGGGCGGGACGATGAAGCGGCAGAACGTGCGCACGCTGGCGCTCATCGTGTGCACCTTCACCTACCTGCTGGTGGGCGCCGCGGTCTTCGACGCGCTCGAGTCGGAGCCCGAGTTGATCGAGCGGCAGCGGCTGGAGCTGCGGCAGCAGGAGCTGCGGGCGCGCTACAACCTCAGCCAGGGCGGCTACGAGGAGCTCGAGCGCATCGTGCTGCGCCTCAAGCCGCACAAGGCCGGCGTGCAGTGGCGCTTCGCCGGCTCCTTCTACTTCGCCATCACCGTCATCACCACCATCGGTAACTACTCGCCGGGCGGGGGCCCGGGGCTGGGCGCCGGCTCCCGGTGTCGCCGGGAGCCGGCTGGGGCTGGGGGGTGCCCCCGGAGAGGGCTGGGCGCCGAACCCCGCGCCCCCAGAAACCGGAGTTCAGCCTGGCGTGTCTGCTCCGCGGGGACGGGACTCGGGGAGGCGTCGATTCCCGGCTCCGGACCAACTTGGCCCTGCCAGGCTGCGGAGGCCCCCAGGGGACTCTGAAGTGTGTGAGAGGGGCAGGAACGACCGGCTGGCGGAGGCTCGGGGAGGAGGGGTGTGGCCAGGCCGGGGCCTGGAGCCCGGCGCGGAGTGTGAGCTGCGGGAGCGGGAGCGCGCGGCTCCTGGCTCCTCCGTGTCCCTGCGGATGGGCTTCCACTCCCAGCATGTCTACACCTGCTGGGCTCCTGGGAGGCGTGTGGATGCCAGTGCGCGGACTTAGCGGCGCTCTGGGCCACTCCGGGTGCCTAAAGCACTCTATAACTGCGTCTGTGAGTGCCGCGTGGGGTGTGTGTGTTTGTGTGCGTCTGTCTGTCTGCCTGTGTGTCCAGCTCCAGGAGACTGGTCCCCACCACCAATGCCTGTGATTTTCTTAGGGAAGCAGAGCTGGTGCTGGAAGCCAGATCCTGCCCTGTCAGCCTTCTCTGCTGTCCCAGCAAAACAGTCACCTCACAGGAATGGCCCCGGTTCTCTTTTCCCAGCCAGAGCAGATCACAGTGCAGGAGGCCGCACGCACACCCAGACCGCCTGACAACATGGGAACAGGCGCATACGCACACAGGTACACACAGGCACACACAGCATACACAGGCACACAGGCGCGCACACACACAGCACGCAAATGGATGTCCAGAAAATGAACCTCCAGTCAGGCCCGCGATGGTGCTATTCAGTAGTGTCCAGACAGGAGAAGACACTTTACCTGTTCCCGATACCCTAGGATTCCAGCCCCGCTCTGCCACTAACCGCTGTATGACCTTGGGCAAGTCCCTTGCCCTGCCTGGGTCTCAGGCTCACCTCCAGACAAGGAGGCTTGGCTGGAATGATCTCAAGGCCTCCTCCCAGCCCTGACGTGCTTGGATTCTGAGACTTGAAAACCCACCTTCTCCGAAGCCCATTGGGATGCCTCCAGGAGCAGTTTCCTCCATCTTTCCCATTCCTTCTCCTCTCCCGGGCCCCCTCCTTGCCTCGCCTGAGCTCCCAGAGGCTCCTTGCCACTTAGCATAGCCCACAACAAGATGGTAGTGTTTTCCTGGGAGTCAACAGGAGTAGAGGGCTAAAAGGCAGGACTGGACGCTGTCCCTGGAGTCTATCCACCGCAGGACACAGTTCCAAGAATCTGCTTCTCTCCGGGGACCACAGGGAGCTGTGCTATGTCGTTTCTGGGTTCCTCTCTTGGAAGAGGGAGAAAAGGGGCCCTGGGCCTGGATATGGCCCAGCTAAGGGCACCTCTGTGTCCTGCTGACCCTATGAGTTTAGGGCAGAATGGTGAGCCCCCAAGCCTGCCCACAGAGGAACCTGCTTACCCGAGAAGGACCAGACCAAATTTGGTCTGGGGTCTCCACCCCTCTTGCACCCCCCACCACCTGCCAAGGTTTCGGTAGCTATTCCACTGTCTGGACCGTCAGACTGGGCATCCTTAGACCACCCTCCCCCTCTTCCCACACATTAAGCCCTTGCTTTTCAGACCCATGGTCCCCAGCTCCACAGGAACCTCCCCGCTGACCTCCTTGCCTCCAACCTCCTTCCCTCACCAGAGCACACTCCCTTGGACAAGGCTGCCAGAATGAACCCCCCAAAGCACAGCTGTCACCCTACCAATGCCCTCCTCAGAAGTCGCCAATGACTCCCCATGGCCTACATAATCTGGTCCACATTTCTCATCCCAAATTTGAAGGGCATTCATACCTGGCTGCAACTTCTCCGCCTGACTTCATTTCTCACTTCTTACTTACATGATCCCTCTCAACTGCAGCCAAACTGTCCCCGGAGAGCAGCTTAGGTATGCCTGTCCAGCATGCCTTTTGCTCTGTCTTCTATTTATCTTGTCCAAGCTAGCCTTCTAGGTCCAGGTCAAATCCCACCTTCTCCATCAAAGCCTCCCAGGCCACTGTTCTAGACAAATGCAGTTCTTACTGTCAGGACGACCTGGGTGACATGGTGTAGGCTCTTTTGAACGGCTATTTACATTTTTGGGGAAGAGTTTTGCCTCTTTAACTGCGCCATCTCAACCTCCACGTGGACCAGGCCCTGTGGTTGCCATCTCTGTGCTTCCAGTGCCCAGAGGCTGCAAGCACACGGAGAACGCTGTTGGTAGGTGTAAGGTTTGCAGAAATGAACGGCCTTGTCCTTCCCTCCATCCCTGCTATTTCCCCAAGTGCTTGTAGTCCTCACCAAGAGAGATGCTAAATGCTGGAAGAGAGGCAGACAGTGCAGTTCTGGAGATTATTTATTTATAAAGTGCTGGGTAAGAGGAAGGACAGCATCAGACCACCACCCCAGTCCTGTGGGGGCTCGAGACTGGCACTGTTCACTCCCTCCCCACCCAGCCATCCCTGCCTTTTTGTCTCCTTCCACTCTAGCTATGCCACCTAGCTGGAAGCTGTACCCTGGGGCTTTACTCTAAGAAAAACCCGTGTGGGCTGTGATCAGTTGGTTGGAAGGGGCCCTGTGTTAGACAGATGCTAGACTGATCCTGACCCAAAGTCCAAGTGCAGCAGCCTCTGGCCACATGGCCCCTTTAGGAACATGAATGGGTCTCCTTCTGAGACACCAGGAGTCCCATTGGGATGGAATAATGACAGAATCTCCCATTCATTTGCTATCTCAGTGATCACCATGTGCTTTCATCTCATGTCTTGATTCTCGGTCTTCACAAGTGCGTGAAGTTGCCAGGGCAGGACTGTTAGCTCCGACTATGGATGAAGGCGTGAAGGCTCAGGGAGGGGAAGAGGCTCCCCAGAGTTGCCCAGCTGGTGAGCAGCAGAGTCAGAGCGGGAAGCTGGATCTTCTGACTCCAAGCCCAGGGCTCCTTCCCTGCTGGTCTCTTGGCTGCTTCCTTTGCCTCCATATGCTGTGAAGCTCAGCCCCAGCCAGGCCTGGCATAGCGGAGACATACTCAGTGATGCCAGCTTCCAGGGCCCTCACGGGCAGCCCTGATTGGTTGAAGGTGGGCAGGATCTGACTTAGTCACTCACCCGGTTAGTCACAGTCTCCATGGGCTCCCTCCTCCCTGCTCTCCCAGCCAGGGAACTCTTCCTTTGTTGTGCCCTAAGTTTACCAAGCACAGACGGAAACTCTTGTCTTGGGAAACCTTAACCCCTTTAGCTGTTGAGTCATTAAACTCCTCCAGGGGCCCAGCCCCATCTATTCATAGAGAAGCTGTCAGAGCAGGAAGGGACTTGGAGATCAGCTGGTGTCACCCTCTCCTCTTACAGATAAGGAACCAGTGAGGTGACAGAAATCACACAGTTAGGGGGTGGCAAAACCTGATTCCCAGGCCCCCACTCCTCCTCCTTGTCCGGTATGATTATTTATTCTTTTTGCTAACAACAGCAGCAACAACAGCAATCATAAAAATGGCAGCCACCATTTATTACCTACCCTTTGTCAGACTCTATACTGGACACTTCATTTGTATGCCCTCATTTAATTCTCTCACCACCCCCTCACGATGAGCATCATTACCCCCAGTTTTCAGCTCAGGACCGAAGGCTCTGAGTGTAAATGATTCAGAGCTTGAAAGTACAGCAGCTGTCTGCATTCGGCTGGGCCTCCCTGCCTCCCATGCCCTGGCTTTTTTTTATCAGTTCTTTCTCCAACTCAAGAACCCAGCCCAGATCCTTGTATCTCAGGGGCACCGAGGAGCCAGGGCTTGAGGAAAACGCAAAGCCGTCGCACAAGCAGAGGACTAGCCAGCTGCTGCCCGCACCCTGGCCCCTGACCAAGCCAGACCACGTGGCAGAGCTGTGCCCAGCCCCAGGCCCTGCCTGAGCCTGCCACCGGCTCCCAGGTGCTCATTCTCCCACTGCGGGTGCCGGGAATCCTTGCGGCTCTAAGGCAATAAGAGAGCAGGTGACTGACCAGCTGATGGAGCAGGGTCAGAAAACCTCCTGTCCTGCTCTTCCCTCAGCTTCTGGCCTGTCCTCAGCTGAGCACAGCCTGCCATCACCCCCCGTGTGGCCTGGGACAACTTGGACAGGAAGCTCATGAGGGAGCTGCATTTTGACATCTTTCCAAGAAGGAAGAAAGTACAGAAGTGACCTGCCACCCCCCCCCCAAAACCCCAGCATCCTAAAATAAAAGAGTGAGAGGAGACATGAGCAACCATCCAAATGACCAGGGAGGTGAGTGGCTTGTCCACAGCCACACAGCGAGTTGAGAGTGAACCCCAATTAGAACCCAGGCCTTTGGGGGCCCAGACTGGAGTTCTCTGCCGCATCCAGCCCCTTCCCCACACACCCCAGCAGCTCTGTTAGCACTGGGGCCGTGGCAGCTCCTCACTGCATGTTTCAAGTCCTCTTTTGACTTCCCAGGGGAGGAAGCAGGGGCAGCCCAGCATGGAAGAGCCCCAGTGCCCACAGAGTCCGCATTTCCTTCCTGCGCTCACAGACTGCCCCCCCTGCTTCAACCCCCACCCCCAAGCCTTCTCTGCAGGGCAGGCGAAGGCCCAGGCACCACTTGGAAGCCAAAGTGCCTGAGTTCATCTCCCTCCACCCCGCCCCGCACCCTGCCACTAGCTGTGTGACCTTGGGCAAGTTATCTGATCTCTTTGAGCTTGTTTTGTCATTTACAAAATGGGGGTAACAATATCTGCCTCCCAGGATTAAATGGGATCATGTCAAGAAA